CAGGAATGAATGTTAAATGTGTTCATAGTGGAATCCTCAACTGAATAGAAAGTCTATGACATTCCCCCCAAATCAATCAATCTATATATACATTTTTAAATCAAGCACTGAGTGACTGGGCTTCAAAGGTGCCTTGTTTTTTCATAAAGAACAGCAGCTGTAGTCAACCTGAATTCACTTACATAGTACATAGTTTTCAAAACATCTAAAGCGATATCTCAGCGTTATTAGCTTATTTGCCGGCCATCCATATTCAGCATGTTACCAAAACACACCAGCTGATCCAGGAGAGCAACGGTGCAACGTGGAAGCAGTGCACATGGTGACTACAGCTGATACATTTAATTGATTAATCAGAGTGACAGAAAAGTATTCTGCAAAAATTTTGAATATCAGTTAATTGTTTAATTCATTTGCTGGTTTAAGCTTCTAAAATGTAAGGGTTTGCTTTTTACAGTTTTAAAATAATTTAAAATATTTAGACTTTGGAGAGATAGGTGAACCTACAAATCAATACTACACCCTTAAGGCTCAGAGTTAAACCAGAATCTATTTCCTACTAACGTTCTTCTTGCTACCTCTACACTGTGTATGGATCATGATATGATCTGTGGGCTATAAAAACTCCTGGGACTGGTCAATCCACGTTGGCTGTTCAACATTAAGGTATGCGAGAGCTTAAAACATCCGGTAATCCTGGTTTCACTTAATACACAACGCGGTAAAAAGGGTGTGTTCAAAGCTTCACTGGCGTGTCGACAGGTCTGTTGGTAAACAAGGCAGCTCATTCCTTGCTGACCTTCTTATTCAGATGAAATGTTTGGCCATCACACATGACTTTATCACATGACCATAAGGCAAGAACGGAAAGTTAAGTCAACCCATATACAGCCTATTGTCTTGGCAGTGCATGTACAGCATATCGCTTTTCATTCACAAGCTGTCATCGCTGGTTTGTGTGTCTAACTTTCTCCTTAGGCTACATGTTTGTCCACACCTACATAATAATTACAGACGCTACAGTTTCCTAAAAGACAGCACTCAAAATATGAGTTAAAGCTCTCATTTGTTTCCCCTGAAGCTCCATAAACTTACATCAGTTATACAGAGTTGGGGATTTTTAAATGTATCCGTTTATTCAAACACTTCATTTATGTTGACCTTAAAATCCAGTTCACCTGCAACTCCAAACAAATACGCCTACTTTTTTCCCCCCAACATTACAAGACTTGCCACTTACCCCTGATTCACGTCCGGCTGGGCTTCGGGCAGATGCTTGTGTTTCTGTGGGAGCACCTCAGCAACTTCGCTATCAGGATGGTGTGTGTCTGCGTCGGAAACTGACAGCTCCACTGTCACCTGTTCTCGTGCTGTCTTGTTACTGTCTATGCTCTGAGTAACTGTATCCACCCACTCGCTCCTCTGTGTTGCCCTTTTGTCTTCAATCTCTGTGGCATCTGATTGCAGCTCAGCACTGGGTGTCAACGTGCCCATGACAACCTCAGCTCCGGCACAAGAATCTGTGACTGCATTTGTTGTGGTTTCTGTGCTTTCTTCACTTGTTTCTCTACTCTCATCAGCTGTTGCTGAAACTTGCTCTTCCTCATTTCTAACATCTTCCTCTCTTGTGTTATTGGAAGAAGCATGTATGAACTCGGAACTCTTAATGCCTTTGTAAGCCAGAGATTGTAGATCTTGACTTGGGAGTTGCTTCTCCCCATTAAGGTGGTCTTCTGTTTCCAAGTCCTCGGTCTGCTTTCCCTCTGGCCTCTCCACCTTCCCACATGGCTTCCTGGAAGGTTTGTGCACCTGTTGAACCGGTGTGGCAAGTAACTCCTCCTTTCTCCCTTCCTCCTCCTCTTTTTTCATCTGTGGCAATGCTGTGGCTCCTTCTTCTTTCTGCTGACTCTTGGCATCACTGCTTACAAGAAACTCAGATGTTCCAGTTTTGTGTTCTTGAACCTCAGTCCTCTGACCTTCTAGTTGTTGCATTTGAGGTCGGCTATTGAGAGCCTCTGTTTTTTCTTCATTGTCCATTTTGCTTCCCCCATTGTGCTTTTTAACACTTACCATCCCCAAATCTCCCTCATCTCTATTGCTTATCCCTCCTTCTACAATCTTCCTCTGTTCCTCAGGCTGTAGTTCCTCTTTCAATCCTTCCACCATGCAAATTTCTGGTCTTTCATCTATTATGTACGTGTTTTCATCCTTACTTTCCTCTTCACTGCTTACAAGAACCTCAGGTGTTCCAGTTTTGTGCTCTTGAACCTCAGTCCTCTGACCTTCTAGCTGTTGCTGCATTTGAGGTCGGTTATTGAGATCCTCTGTCTTTTCTTCAGTGCCCATTTTGCTTCCCCCATTCTGCATTTTAACACTTAGCATCCCCAAATCTCCTTCATTTCTCTTGCTTATTCCTCTTTCTACAGTTTCCCCCTGCTCCTCAGGCTGCTGGACCTCTTTCAACCCATCTACCATGCACTTTTCTTCTGTTTCATCCACCGTGTACATCTCTTCACCCCTACTCTCTTCATCACTGCTTACAAGAAACTCAGACATTCCAGTTTTGTGCTCTTGAACTTCTGCCTTCTGCCCTCCAAAATGCTGCTGTGCTTCAGTTTGGCTATTGAGATCTTCTGTCCTTTCCTCATTGTCCATTTTGCTTTCCTCACTGTGTATTTTAACAATTAGCACCTTCAAATTTCGCTCATCTCTCCCATTTATCCCTCCTATGAAGTTACCTTTGTTTTCTGGCTGCTGGACCTCTACCATGCAAATACCTTCTTTTTTATCCATTGTGTTCATGTCTTCTTCCTCAAGCTCCTCTGCGTTGTCCTCTTCAGCACTGAAGTAAATCTCGGTGGTACTGCTATCATTTGATCCTACGCTCAAATATGTTGGGCTTAAAAACCCGTCATACGCATCCATCTGTCCAGACCGAGGAGAAAAACTCTCTGTTGCTTTGATGTTTATCTCAAGACCCTTCACTGTACTCATTTTGTCTGCTACAGGACAACCAGGATCAGCTCTCGCCTCGTCTGTGACCAACTCTTTGACTAGGATCACTTTCCGCTTGCCGGCAGTAACCGGAGTATCTGTCCCTTTGGATGCTACATAGTCAGAAAGAGGAGGGGCAGACTTTTGAACTACAGGGACTGATCCGATAGTCTCTTGAATGAGGTTAAACCTCTCTGATTTCACCCCTGAATGGGCGCAGGTCAGCTCCGAGTAAGGAATGTCTTGATAAACTGGTTCAGAAGCTGAACTGAGAGAGGAGGGTAGATATCTGCGGTGGATGTCTCTGTCTGTTTGAGGCTCAGAACTTTGGTAAGAGGTAAATCTGGAGCAGTCACTAGAAGAAACTACCTTTTTGTCACTGAAGCTGGCATTTATGTTGGTGTAACTGCATTCAGCATCATCCATAAAATCACATGAAGTTGTCATATGTGAGCATATAACAGTTTCTGTGTCACATTTGCTAAGGGTCTTAACCACAGGTTCTGACTTGGCATTAAGCTGTCTTATCTTGGTTTGGATTTGAGGTGGAGGGTTTGACAAAGATGACATTACCTCAGAAGTAAAACTCTGGGGAAACAGTGACTCGTACAACACTCCATAAACTTCTGGGCTGACAGGAGCAGCGCCCTTTTTAGAGGTAAAAGTTGAGGCTGTGGAGACACTCTCGTCAGTTTCAGAAATAGACCTCTTATTGCCAGAAACTGAGAATTCTTGATGGATAGTAGAAGAATCTGTATTGGAAGAGTTGTCACTGTGAAGAGCAGGCGCTGCCTCTGTAATAGTGGCATCAAGTTTGGGGTGAACACTGATCAGGGTGGGTTTACCACTTGGAGTTGTACTGTCAGCTCTGGGGCTAGGCACATCAGACTGATGATGTGATAATGAAACACTGTTAGATTCAGTAAGAGAGAGTTTCATTTTTGTGTTGGACTGCTGGAGGATATCTTTATCATGCAGACCATTGCTTGAGTAGAATGAGTCAACAACTGCTGCTTTGAGAGCCGAGCTGTCAGACACAATCTGAGGATGGCTAGCTGGAGGGCTAGGTGCAGCCTGGGTATCAACAGCAGAGGTGGTTTCTGTTTGAGTCACAGGGGCAGATGAGCCGACTTCAGTTTTGGACGAGTTATAATGAACAGAAATGTTCAACTCATCATCATCCAGCTGGAGCTCAGGAATGGAAGCTATCGGCGCTTTTGGCGGTTCTTCATGCACATCTGAATGATCGGAGCCATTTGTCAGAAGCCCCTTTGTTTCTGGTTGAGTGCTTACAGGGAAAAATGACTGCAACTGCCAGAGGAGAGTGACACTTGATTCTGGTTGGTTTGTGGCCACAGGTGGAGGAGAAGGGATGTTAAAAGAATCACTGGTGTCAAGCTCTGGTTGAGACATACTGAACTTCATCTGATTGAGGTCCAGAGGAGTCTAGAAGAAGATTAACAGTTTCACCCATGAAATATATGATGCGTCTGTAGTGCTTAACAGTACAATAGCCATTTCTAAACATAAATAAGTTAGAAACAGTTTGTGCATGTCATGTCCTGTCAATCTGGAATCACAGGGCCACGCATTAGATTATTCTGAAAGATACCAAAATTTCAGGTGACCTTTCAAAAACCCAGAGGGTTGTTCAACAAGACCTACTGTTATCTGAAAGCTATTTCCACAGTCCTCAATAAGTATTATGCCATTTTGAATAAAAAAAATATTCTCATGAAGTTACATATCTTCTTGCTTGTTTTGTATGATGCAAAAAACATTTTTTAATGATAAATTACTGAAAATGACATTACAGATAACATACTAAAACCTTTTTAATTTAGGTTCATGTTATATGTGTTTAAAAACACGCCACCTATATTGGTATGTTATTATACAATAGTAAAGAGATTGGCCACTTCATGGCTACCACATGCTGTTCATATAAATTTGAGGTAGGAGGAATATTATTTGATCCATATGGACACAAGAGTCTGTCATAATTGTGCAAAGTCATTCAGAACTGCTTCAAGTGCTGTTAAACAACCTAGGTTTTGATCACTGCATTTAGGGTGCCTTTCAGGACAGTATGCTAATAGGATGGCAACACCAACTATGGATTTGAAAACAACACAATGTTGTTACCTTGTCTTGCACTTCAACATCTGTGCTGTCAAGGCCAAAAGTGCTCTTAGAGATATTCTCTTCATCCTTCTCCTTCTTCTTCTTCTTCTTAAGACCAAATGAAAAGGTGGAAAACTTTTTGGTCTTGCGGAGGTCCAACTCCGAGTAACTGAATTCTTTGCTCTAATAGGAAGAGAAAAAGATGGCAGGATGGAGAGTGAGAGGGGAAGGGAGAGAATAAATAAAATGCAAATTTCATGTTACTTATTAATGACAATAATTTGATTTTAAAGGCATTGGATGGTACAGCTTTAAACAGTATGGCTTGCTGCATCTAAAATCCCTCTACCCTTGTCATTAAGAAAACATCTGGTTTCGTAAGTCACAAATCCTGCTTTTTTTGATACACAAGAATACATACCAATCATACCTACTCATTTTCAAGCTGTTACCAAACACCAATTAGTCAAACAATACTTCTGTCTGTGGTAAGAATGAGGACACTGCATGGTGAAAATTCCAGAGTTCTTACAACTGTAAACAAGAAAGGAGTGGACACCCTAACTTCATTCCAAGCATTAAAACTGGCTCCACCCTTAAAAAAAAACATGAAAGACTAGTGGAGCATGATCGACTAAAACTACAGTAGTATCTGCTGACACAAATACCGTGGTTTGGTGGGCTTGGTAAAAATAAAAAATAGACAGTACCACTTGCTGTTAAATACATAAATACATGTATTCTGTGGTTGTGTGTATGCTTTGCTGGGCTGCAATGGCAAAGGAGAATGAAACACAAAGCTGTCTGTCACTGACATCTGCCAGATTTCAAACTGGGTGTGCCTGTAAGAATTCTTCCTTCTGTGATGGATTCTTAGATTATTATCTTTGTTTCTCATACTTTCCTAAGTGAAGCCTGACTTGAGTCTGGAGTTGGTGGACAGGACAGCAAAAACACACCCTTGCTCAATTCATCACACTCAGAACTTTGCTGCCACAGCCTTATTTGGTCTGGTATGACCGGTAACCAATGGTGGCCAATGTTAATGTTGGCAAACTTTAGATAGTGAAGTAAAGCAGTACCTATCTTCGACTCTTCAATTTAAGCATTTATCATTATCGTGTAAATGTCAGCTGTAGTTACTGTGTTCAGCGCAACTTGCTCTAGCTACTTCATGTTAGGCTAAGGTTTATGGAGAAAATAATTCACTCTACAGTGTTTGGTGACCACATGAACATTTGATGAGATTATCAGTGGAAAGTGATCTTCAACTTGATTTTAATGATCAAATTATTATTACACTCAAGCAGCATTTCTCATTTGCATTAACTGGCCATCAGTGCATCATGCAGCCAAACAAAGGCTAATGGGATGCTCTTGTGTATCACTGGTGTAGTTGAGTTCATTTCCAAAGTGTTCAGCTACATGCCATACAAGGGATAGCGAGTTTCACTGTTGGTTAAAGAAAGGGTGTTGTGTCCTACACTTGTATTGTGATGAAGACCCTTTTAGTGTGAACTACTCTTTATGACTTGAGCCACATTAAATGAACCAAAGGCTGCATTTCACATTACAAACCTTTGATAGGTTATCTTATGTTCTGGTTCACTGGTAATGCTCAAAACCACCCTGCTTCTATGAATAATTATAATGGCACTGTCAAAGCCTTAAGGCCATTCTGCATATTCTGGCCTCATGCAAAGCAAGACATCAAATCTTCTGGTCACTGTACACACACATACTGCATATACTTCATTCATACATGCACCTCCTGAATTTCAGTGAAAGTACAATTTAAAAAATGTAAACAACCAAGTATGATTATAAAGGGTTTTCTGTGTAATCTGTCCCACAGGTCTCATGTACACACAAATCATAATTTATCTTCACCTCAGGATTGCTGCTTAGTAAAGCACTGGCACCCTCTGCTGGAGGGAAAACAGTCTGTGGTGGTTTTTACCTGATATGCTGTCTGTTTTACATCTGCTGCAGGCATACACGGTAAACACAGACAAAATAATGCTGATAAAATTAAGCAGTGGCATTGCACATATTAAAGAGAGTTACAAGTGACTTCACTGAAAGTGAATAAAATCCGTTTACAAACGCTGTGTTGTATGTTATTTTTAAAGGTGCCCTTTAGAGGAGTCCTGTATGTTGGCTACCTGCAGTCAGTGTCTTTCTGTGCCTCTTAACTCAATTGAGATAGTAAGAGCATGAGTGTGGTTAAATAATTCCAATGGATATATTAGACTGTGCTCATCTGCATAACGCATATTAGGATATATTGTGAGCGTAAGGGTCACAATTGCACAAGCTGTTGAGCAATCTGAGACCAAATCAGAGCCACAAAACATACACTGTCCCAAGTGTGTGTATGTATCAATAGGGGTGATAAAATGAGACTGTGCTCTACACTACATTAGTTAACTTGCCTCAATCACAGAAAGTGATTTGAATGATAATGCATTTGTATGCATTCAACTTTTAAACATGGTACATGTGCATGTATGAACGAGAAGACCTGAAAGAGCAAGAAAAACAATGTGCCAAAGTTACTTTTACCAAACAAAATAGCCTATAGTGTTATTATTCTTACAATAACCTACAAAGATTATATCATCCTAGGTGATCCTATCATTCTATATAAATCAGTAGATATAATAATGTGCTGTGAAACAAATTTTAATTTAAAACTTGATAAATCATGTACTCAACATTTATCACTATAGGGAATAATACTGTATGGAATATAACAGGAATAAGTAGAATGTGGGGCCTGTGTACATGTGACTGGAAAATATTTTCATACTTTGTTTTTATATTATTATAAACCCAAAGGTAATTTAAAAACAGGTTCCTAAGTGGGTGATGCTATTCTGAACACACACACACACACACACAAAAAGCCTTGCAGGGAAATACCTTGAAGCACTCACTTTGTATGCAGACTCGCAAACACACAACCACATCAGCCAACTCTTTCCTGCTTAACTGTGCTGTCTGAAATATTTAAAAGCTGAAAAAGGTGGACCTGACCTTTGACCTCGGTGCAGTGCTATAGAGAGACAACCTCTTGGTGTCCGAGGTGCTGATGTCAGCCAAGGCCTCTTCATCGATGACGACACTATTGGCTTCGGCAGCACTAAGGGGGAAACAAGTAGAAAAGTGAAATTAGAAGAGTATCTTCTCTCTGAATCTACTTCAAAATACATGTCAGTTAAAATTGAATTTTTGAGTAGAGGAAAATGTCACTGCTCTGAGATACAGATAGATCTGCAGTGAGATAGTGCTTGAAGGAAAACTATAAAGCTATCTCATCCCGTTTCAGCATTGCATCAGTACAGGAAAATATGCTGCTTAGGTTAGAAAAACGTACCAGTGAAAATTCCCCAAAAGCAAAACTGGCTAAGCAGAACCTGTGTTTTTTAGAAAAGTATTCCTTGTCCTTGACTTTTGCTTAGAATAAAGACTTATTTAAATTTTAATTTGTCTAATTGTAAAGCTTTTGGCGTTGTTCAGTCTTTACAAAAGTTCCCGGCTCATGTCATGGGATGTTGGTGTCAGTGTGCAGTTAAGCAGGGGCTTGACAGTCAACAGAGGCTGCTCCAATAATCACAAGATGTCATCACATCAAACAAATGGTACAAAGGTCTCTTTTTTTAATTCACGCAGGATGCTTTCTCTTTGCACAACAGGAGGAAACAGGAAGCCAAGTGACAAGTAAACATTAGTATCAATGCTGCAATATAATCCAATGAGACTTCAACAACCACGCATATTCATGTGTACATAGCACACCATTTCATCTGGTGATGTGCAGGAAAGAGCTTCACCAGAGTTTTGAACAGACACACAGGCACGTTCACGATTACACAGTGTATTTATTTTTTCATGCATGATGACAACAGCCAAGTAACCACTGCAAGGTAAAAGAAAAATTAACCGATTTATGTAAAAAAAAACAAACAAACAAAAAAAAACAGATATAAGCAAACAAGTCAGATCTTTTTATGAATGTCTTGACTTGCATGAAGCTCAGCAGAACGTAACTGAGATATGAAAGTTCCTTGTGTACTTTCAATAGCTGTGCAGTAAAATGTGAGAAGGATTAGAACAGGACAGAGACACAAACAGAGCTATAGTGTAATGTAGCCCATCTCCATGAAACATAACATTTGCATAGTATCTAGCAGACACTTGCTACCACCAAACCACATATTTTCTGTATGCAAATGGTTTAAAACAGGCACCTTCTTCGTTAATTCACAGGAATAGGAGTTCAATATTTTTCGAAATATTTATGTAGCTGGAGTCTGTAACCAGTTAGCTTAGCATAAAGACTGGAAACAGCTGTGGAAAAACAGTTAGATTGGCTTGTATGAAGGCAACAAAACTCACATACCCTCACTTCTAAAGCTCACTAATTAACACATCATATCTCCTTTGTCCTATCCATACAAATACCAGAAACCTTCAGACAGGCTAGATGTCTCCCCTGTTTCCAGTCTTTAATGTTAACCCAGTGTCTTTCCAAATAAATATTTACAGTGTTATTTACCTCTCAGTATGTACCACATAAATTATGCTTTCCTCTGACATGTTCGTTAGCTTGTTGAAGTATGTGAGACATTTCTCGGACCTAAGGGAGGTGACAGACAACTACGTAGGTCATGCTTCTTTATTTTATAGTGATTGTCTATGAAAGAAAAGTTTGACTACTTAGCCATGTAATGTCATTTACTGGGCCTTGAGGTTTCATTAAAAGGTTTTTAGCATCACGGTTACTTTTGACACAAGTGGGTAATGGGATATATTAAAGTTTAATCACTTAATTCTTAAGAACATAGAGTGGTCACTTTATGAGCAGTGACTAACTGATTTCAGGATCCATCAGCTGAGTCATTTGGCTATTCCAGTTTAACATGTACACAACAAAAGGTAGAATAGAGGTGTTTTCATTTTGTGCTGTGAAGCATGCAATGTAAATACAAGTTTGACACATGTGAAAACACATCCCTCTAGCAACAGCTGAAGGCCACTCGTGAGATCTTGCCCAGGGACACTTCGACATGTGGACCCCAGGCACCGTGATTCGAAGTTCCGACCCTCCGGTTGGGAGACAACTGCTCTACCCACTGAACAGCAGTATCAACAGCTGACTACTGTACTTGAAGTCTACCCCTGATTTTCCTGAGTTCTCACTAAATTGGATTAATCCAGCTAATTAATTCCTCCACTTCAGCACTAGAACCTTTAACATAAACAAATAACCATATAAATCAACATTAGACAAAACAACATAAGAGATATTCTGTTTCTATTTAACTTGACCTTCATTCACTGACGATGTGGGTTAGGACACAACACAGTAACAGTTCATCCTACCAACTTTCTGTGAGTGTGATAATCAAGTATTTTGACTCCAAACTGTGTAGTAATCTCAGTTTATGTACAGTAAGCACAGTGTTAATGTGCTTACACTTACAAACACAAAGGTAACAGGTTCCACAATACAGTGATTCATTTAAAACCCAGTTGTTCTGAATAATGTCAGCTATTTAAACACAGCTACAGTATGTTGAGACATTTGAGCTTCAGCTATGACTAGGATGTTGCCCAGCTGTATCCTCGGGCACAATGATGTACGTGTGTGTGTGTGTGTGTGTGTGTACAGTATATTTGTGCAATTGATTAGTGGTTTCATGTAAATGCTACAGGCATGTGGAGCGGCTGGTTTCTGTACACTACGTCTACCCATCCACGACGGCACTCGGAAGCCCGACAAACCTTATCAGATTGTAAAACTCTGGGTGTGATTGAGTTGTTTCAAAAGGGAACTTCAGCATTCCTTCTGTAATTTCATACAGCGGAGATAAAGTTTCAAATTACGCCCAACATAATGTGAACTGACCTTGAACTGTACTGTATGAAACACACTGAAGTCAAAACAAACCAAATACCTTGAAGATTTATTTATTAAGCCCTGAAATCCTTTGCCAGATGAAACCCTGACTTTCATCCAGAATGTCAGTAAGCTAGACCGATACTGTACAATGCAAATCACTAGAAAAGATAATACAATAGCTAAATGAAGCTTTCAAGAAGTCATTGCATCTGTACATGAGGTTAATGAGCAGAGTGACCTACTGTATTCTACGTTTTGTACACTTCTTGTTTTTTTTACACAGCTGCTAATGCTAATTACTGCTGCTAATTGATTCATTGTGCTACTAAACGTTACCTTTGTGTAACCCCTGCATGCAGCTCTTTTGTGTAAAGGCGGTACTCACAGTGTCAGGCCATCTTAGTAGTTTGAGCAGATCATTTGTTGAGCAGAATTTGACATTTACAAATGAGCATATCCCAGTTTAGCAGATGACCGCATGGTTGTTCTACCTGTTTAGAATAAGTTCACAGTTTTGCTCAATTGTAAAACCAAATACTATGGTCAGTAGTTGCATGTATCTTGGATCTTTTTTCCACTGTTAACAGAACAATATCAGTCCCAAGTATGTAATATCATAAAAAATGTCTTTGTAGTAGACTCTTTGTCTTGCTGGATTGTTTTGTTACTCTAGTGACAAACATCCAACACACTTTCCCAAAACTAAAGTGAAATCATGCAAACTGCTCATTTTGCCCTGCTCATTTTGCCCAACAATCCAAAATCCAAATATAGTCAGCTAATATCTTAAAAGACTATAAAATCCAAATAAAGAACCAGCACCAGAGAATTAACAGGTTATGAAAATCCCTTTCCTGATCCATAAACTAAATGTCTGAGCTCTAACTGCTTTGACCACAGTTTCCATGATCATAAATGGAGTAACAGTTAGTGCAGCAGAATTTCAATCATAGATCTATTAACGTTACAGCTCACTAATGCTATGGCTAAAAGATGTCCAAGCAAAACATAACACATTTCTGAAAGTGTTTGTAAGCTATGCCACTCAGGGATTTTGCAATCTTTCAGAGAAATAAATAAAAATGTTATGTCCCCATTCATGGCTCTTTTGCACAATTACACAATGACTGAAAGAATGGAGCAAATTTCATGGATTTCACAGTCCTGTCTAGACAAATGTTCCCCTAAACTCTCTAAATCAACACTTCACACAAAATACAGTACTATACATACATTTTTTTTGTACATTGCATTTATGTAGAGCGTGATTTTTACTATCTGAAACGTTGGCCTTTTAACAAATCCTGTACTATAAAGGGAGCAATACAGCCCATAATATTTAACAGTACTTCATGGCTTCACGTTACCCCTTCTGCATGAGAAGCCATATGGCACATGCACAGGGAACACCTCGACTTTGCGCACATACCTGAGAACCTGCGTTGTCTCGGTGGCAGAGCCGTTCTTCGATTTTGCCTTGAACCTTAGGAACTTGATTTTCTTCTTCTCTCCCTCGTCTTTATACACATTCTTCTCCACCGATTCGTCGTGTCTGCCTTCGCCCTTGGAGAACAAACTTTTTAAATACTTTCTGGATGAACTCTTCTTCGCCATCTCTACTGGGCGAAGACGCCGAAAGCAGAAAAGGTCTGGTGGGATTCTACACGACTCACGTTAACTTTTACACGGATGAACCGCTTATTAAAAGCTGATGACAGTGACAACGGACTAGGAAAAAAACTGCAAGGCTGGTTGACAGATGACAGCTTTTCCTGCAGCTTCATATCTGAGCAGCAGGCTGAGCTCAGGTGTGGTGACACGCCCCTGAGGATCAACACCCAGACAGACTCCCAGCGCCACTGGTTCAGGGTTACAATATTTACTTTCATTCGCTAATAGTTTTAGGTTACCTGTAGACCACATGATCTCCAAAGTGGTTGAGATCATGCCCATAACCTTTTTAAGATTATGTCAAGATTCATATACAATATGAAGCTTTCAATGTCAAAAACAAGGATCTTCACACACGCATTTTAAAGCAACTTTCCATTAGTGTAATTTTCCATGCCATGTTTTTACCTCCTAGTGTGTAATATTTTTAGGCCAGAAAAGACCCCCTTTTTTTGCTGAGCTGCGTTAAACAATAGCAGAAACCAGTAAAAGTAAATGTGTGTCTCTGCAGCAAGTGGCTCGGTGATTAACACCACTGACTTTGATATGGCAGGTCAGGATTCAGTTCCCAGTCAGGGCACGATAAATCGTTTTGTTAATGTGATTTAGATCCCTGTGCAATCTCAGTCTCATGTGGCTATGGAATGAATGTCTTCTTGAATAGCAACCAGTATATTCTAGCCTATTACAAGATCCTGATTTAAATATATGTGTTCATCATTTGTAAAACGCCTTGAGGCGATTTCCATCTGCTAATAAAAGCGTGTCTAGATGAAAGGTGTGATTGTAATTGCATGTGATTTTTACTTTGTCAGTGTGTGCACGGCAGATATTTCAACACTGGAGCCGGAGAAAGTGAACGTTCGGCCTCTGTTCACAGTTCCCCAGTGCGCATGTGCAGTGGATCTCAGCACGCGGAAGCAACCCCGGAAAAAAAACAAATATGCCGTGTGCGCCAGGCGAGCAACATTAAATGGGGAAAATAAATAGAATGAACGAATGTATTAACGTTATGACAAAACGTTCTCACAATTCAGACTTTAAAAAATTTCCTACCGTTTCTTGGAGGGACACAAAGTGGTGTTGCTTCCTTACAATAAAAACCACGTGCCCAGGTAACGTAAACATTAACACCTGATCAGTCTTGTTATACACGCGAAGCCTGTCACTTTTGTCTTTTATTTTCCTTTGCTGATATCTTTAGTGATGAGTGTTTGAATGTCATTTCCTTGCTGTCAACGTTTAAACATGGCGGATGGGTTTTATTGTGACTTCTAAATAAGTCTGCAACTAATCATAATGTTGAGAAAACAATCTCATCACAAGTTCCATTTAGTAGCTTTTCTGGAGCTTTAAATCGTATCATAGAGTGTCATTGGTCATGGCCCATTTGAAAGCTTTTTGTCCATGCTGGCACAAGGTGAAGAAATATCTTAGGACAGGTGTCAGTACAAGTTTTTGATCCTTTGACAGTCTGAAGTCTCTTTAACTGGCACAGCAGAAACCAGCTCCAGTCCTTTAGCATCTGGATACATGATTAAGTTAAAGCTGTAGAAACCTGCAGTGCCTGTGTCTTACCCACCTGTTTACACTCTTTAGGTATCATGAATGGATGAAGTGTCCTGAGCTGCAGCATCTGAGCGCCTCAGAGCCACTGACCCTGAAACAGGGGTACAACATGCAGGGGAGCTGGAGGGAAGATGATGACAGTAAGACTTCTTCGGCAGTAAATGTACACACAGAACATGCTCTTATTTATTCTCTAAAGCAGTTGTTATAAATCTGAAGGCTTGCCAGACTTAGCTTTAGATTTTCTTCATGAGAATAACTGGACACCTTTATTTCTCTGAAAACTACCTAAATAAAACAGAGAGAGAAACAAATCTTTGGTTGAACTGATCATACAGCAGTGGCTGGAAAGATACATTTTTTACTCTTGTTAACTTATTCTGAGTTAGAGTAACAAGTTTTCCCAAGGGCATTGGGAAGGAGGTGACACACATGATGATGTGCTACAGTCAGCATCTGATCCCATCTTTCAGAAGGTTTCAAGCAGGAAGACAGAAGCTTAAAGCCACTGTGTAGAAGTTGAAAATTTACAAATCTTTTGAATTACTGCCCATTTTTCTGCAATTCAGTCTTATGCTGTGTTCATCATTAGTTGGAGAATCAACCTGTGGTGGAGCAGGAAAAATAAATGCAAAACTGCCATGAGAATCCAGACAGTAGTGGATAAGATTGAGGCAGGTGTATGGTTTGTTGTAAGACGACTTGCAGAATAAACAACTTTTAAATTGTATTTTTTGTGCATTTGTCAGGAAAGGTAAACTGCTCCTAACATTCAGTACTATCCTATGTTGACTAAAAATAACAGGATGGATACATCACTCGCTTCTGATTCCTTAGATATAAACTACATTTGACAATGTGTGATAAGCTGCATTGCTAGACTTGCCAAAGCAGCTGAAAACTGTAAATTCTTATGTTTATCTCCATACAGTATTTATTTGAAATCCCTCTTTATTCATACAAAATATTAGTGGCTTCAAATTTTATTTAAAACATAAATGGTAGGAATAAACCACAATTTTGCCTAAAAAGCCTAAAACATGTCTTGTAACTTTTCTTTTTCCTGTTTCTTCTCCTCAGCACACTGTAAGGCTGCCCTTTAGTGGTGGCACACAGCATTGCACCAATTTTAACAAGTGTGACCCATTACTGAATGGCAATTTAATGGTACAAATAGCAATGTACTGCATGTACATGGCCACAATTTTTGTGAGCATGTATAGGAAAGATTTGTACATAAAAAAGTTTTTGAACGTATGACTAAAATCTGTAAAGAAAATTATGTTACACAAAGACACTGAAAACAAGTGTGTTTGTGAACATCTGTGTTCAGACAGAAAGTAGCTAATTGCACATACAACTTCAATTTAGGAGTACTGAGGTTTGTGTGAATCACACCTGAATCTGATTGGACAGTGACAGGTAGTAGCGACAGTAGGTTCTTCAAGTTAGTCTCTGGTCGCGGTTCTGTAAGTTTGACTGTAGTGGAGATTCAAGATGGACAACAGTGTGTGCTGTTATGCTACTCAGGTGGGTTGCATTAGAAAGGTGTAGAAAATCACATTAAAAGTTTCATGTGTTGCCTTCTGTATGTAGGTGTTCCTAATATTTTGACCCTCTGAATATAACGTAGTCCAGTACAACACCACCTTTAACTATGACCTCAATAATGAACATATCATTGAATTGATACATTTAAGACAATCTGACCAAAAACTGAAACATTTTGAGCTTCATAAACACAAATGGTAAGGTAGAAGTGTTGCATTGAAGTGCATACAGTGGTCATAATGTTATGCCTGATCGGTGTATATCAGTGTTGAATTTTATAGCAGTAGTTAAGTGAGGCTTTATTGTAACTCTGCTTTTCAGTCATTTCAAGCTGACAACTTTACTACAGTCAACCGTGTAGAATTTAATATTTGCATGCTTCACTGAAGTGTCCTTCACCCTTTTTTTTTTCATGTCTATTTTGTTCTTCCCCACAACCTGCCTTGGATTCAAGATCTGGACCCCACTGGGAAGACTTATTCCTGTCAACCCTCATGAGGACATTGTGATGTTTGCACAGCAACTGGGGCTTCATTCCACAGTCTCTTTTAATAAGAATGTTAAGTGTTTTTCGTCTGTAAAATAATTGCACTATCTCCCACCCAGAGTACCCTCTTTTTTTTTTTAATGATGCTGGCTTTGGGCTAAGATGGAGTACAGTGAGGAACTAAGACCTGAACCAGTTCCTGATATCTTAAATGTTACAAAAGTAGAACCAGACAGTTAAAGTTGTAATAGTTTTATTGAAGAACAATTGTTACAAAACACACGGCCTTCTTCTTCTGTTTGTCCACCACTACTATGTCCGGCTGGTTGGCCATTACCAGGTTGTCAGTTTGTATCTGGAAGTCCCACAGGATCTTAGCTTGGTCATTCTCAACCACCTTTGGAGGTGTATCCCATTTTGACTTTGGGACTTCCTGTCTGTACTCTGCAGAGATGTTTCTGTACACTATGCCAGCCACTTGGTTATGGCGTTCCATGTATGCCCTGCCTGCTAGCATCTTGCATCTCATTTCACCCCTGCCTAGTATGGTAGACCCCGACCTTTATTGATCTTGTACTTAGAGCCTGTTCCTGTGCTGCCAGGATCAGTACCTCTGTGCTGTCTTTCAGTCCAGCTTTGTTCAGCCACTGGTAGGATTTTTTGATATCAGCCACTTCTTCTATTTGACGGTGGTACATACCGTGCAGAGGTTTGTCCTTCCATGAGGGTTCCTGCTCTTCCTTCTCTTATTCCTCTGGTTTCTGCTGTCTGAGGTGTTAACTAAGCACGTCATCACTTGGGGCCATCTTCCTGATGTATTCATGGATCTTTGTTGTTTCATCCTGGATAGTGGCTCTGATGCTCACTAATCCTCGGCCTCCTTCCTTCCGCTTAGTGTACAGTCTCAGGATGCTGGACTTGGGGTGAAACCCGCCGTGCATTGTAAGGAGTTTCCTTGTCTTGATGTCAGTGGCCTTTATCTCCTCCTTTGGCCAGCTTATTATGCCAGTGGGGTACCTGAT